CTGATCATATTTTGTACATTTTAGATATGATTTATTCGGCAAAGTTTCGAGCTGACGTCATCAAGTTTTTGGAGGGGATAAGCAAATATATTTTGACTAAACATTTATTATGCTCTTTATAACCTTAAAACATCTGCAAGATGTCAGAGCATTCCGTTTTGTAGTTCCTGATTAAATCAATAAAATATATTTACGCATTCATTAATTTTTTTGAGTCACTCTGTATATGCAAATCCAAAAAATATGAATGGAATGATAAATGATAAGTACAGACTCATCATATTTTGTACATTTTAGATATGATTTATTCGGCAAACTTTCGAGCTGACGTCATCAAGTTTTTGGAGGGGATAAGCAAATATACTTTCACTAAACATTTATTATGCTCTTTATGACCTTAAAACATCTGCAAGATTTCAGAGCATTCGGTTTTGTAGTTCCTGATTAAATCAATAAAATATATTTACGCATTCAATAATTTTTTTGAGTCACCCTGTATATGCAAATGCAAAAAATATGAATGGAGTGATAAATTACAAGTACAGACTCATCATATTTTTACAGTTTGGATATGATTTATTCGGCAAACTTTCGAGCTGACGTCATCAATTTTTTGGAGGGGATAAGCAAATATATTTTGACTAAACATTTATTATGCTCTTTATAACCTTAAAACATCTGCAAGATTTCAAAGCATTCGGTTTTGTAGTTTCTGAGTAAATCAGTAAAATAAATTTACGCATTCATTAATTTTTTTGAGTCACCCTGTATATGCAAATCCAAAAAATATGAATGGAGTGATAGATCACAAGTACAGACTCATCATATTTTATACATTTTAGATATGATTTATTCCACAAACTTTTGAGCTGACGTCATCAAGTTTTTGGAGGGGATAAGCAAGTATTTTTTGACTAAAGATTTATGATGCTCTTTATAGCCCTAAAACATCTGCAACATTTCAAAGCATTCTGGTTAGCAGATTAAAAATTAAATTTCAGAATGTTGTTTTATAATTTTGATTTTTTTTCCAAAAATCTGGACGTTTCGGGTGAAAAGTCGATTCAGAGTTGTAAACTACATGTGTAGGACTATGTTATTTTATACAATTGAAAACCCATTTACTATGTACAATTTTGAAGTGACGTCATCGCATTAGTGGTGGGGATGATTAAACAAATTTTGGTTAGCGTTTTACCATCTATATGATATTCTTAATATAAGTACAAAATTTCACAACAATCGGTCGAGTACTTTCGGAGATTATCTGTCTAATAAAAATCCGGCACGGCAGACGGACAGACGGACAGACGGACGGACAGACAGACGGACGGACAGACAGACGGAAATGGGAGACCTATTTCTTCGTCTTCTAGGGGTCATGAAAGATCGAGAAAACGTAAAAGCAGAGAGTCGGCCGACGGACTCGATTACAATACTTCCTTTGCTTACGCTCGGGAAGTAAAAATCGATGTATCCAAAAATTGAAAAATCGGGAAACTGATCAGTCGAAAAATCGCAACATCCAAATCTCGATACATATATGGAAAAGGAGAAAGAGAAAATTTGAAAAATCAAGAAATCGAAAAACTGAAAAATTGAAAAATTAAAAATCCAAAATTAAAAAATTCAAAAAATTGAACAACAGAAAAGTCAGGGGGCTAAAATGTCAAAAAGTCGAATAATTGAAAGTTTAAAAAAGCGAGAAATTGATGAATCAAGAAATTGAAAAATTAAAACATGAAAAAAAAAGTCGAAAAATTGAAAAATGGAGAAATCGAAATTTCGAAAAATCTACAAATCGAAACCTTAGAAACACCAAAACTTCAAAAACAATATTTCCATATGAAAAATGGAAAATTTTAAAAATCAAAAAATCAAAGAATCTAAAAACTGAAAAATTAAAAAATTGAAAAATCAAGAAACTGAAAGAACCCAAAGCTGAAATTTCGGGAAATTGAGAACTCGATTATTGGAAAATCCAAATTCCGAGGACGCGAAAAATCGAATAATTAAAAAATAATTACATCGAGAAATCGAAACATGAAAAGATCGAGAAATAAAAATAGAAAAGTCGTAATATTATTAAAATGGACAAATCGAGACCACGTCAAATAGAAAATTATAAAAATCGAAAAATTTAATCTCAAAAAAAATAAAAAAATTGGGAAATCGGAACAATAAAAATTCATCAAATCGAAAAATTGAAAAATCGAAGACCGCGAAATAAAAAAAAAAACGAAAAATCGAAAAATTCAAAATTTAAAAATTCGAAACTAAAGGAACGAAAAATTGGAAAACAGGTAAATTGAAAATATCCCAAAACTGAGTCGAAAAACTGAAAAATCGAAACATCGAAAAATTTAAACAGCGAGAAATCGAAACAAGAAGAGATGGAGATATCGAAATTGCCCGAATGAAAAATTTTAAATTGAAAAATTTTAAGTAAAAAAAGTCGATATATCCAAAAATTGAAAAGTCGGTAAACATCCAAATCTCGACACATACTCATATATCGAAAAAGAGAACGAAAAAATTTGAAAAATTAAGAAATTGAAAAACTGAAAAACAGAGAAATTGAAAAACTGAAAAGTCGAAAAATTGAAATATCAAAAAAAAAACAAAAATTGAAAAATTCGAAATCAAAAAATCTAAAATTTCAAAAACCAAAAAATTTAAAACTCGAGACATCAAACGTCGAAAATTTAAAGATTCAAAAAATCAAAGAATATAAAAATTGAAGAATTAAAAAACTGAAGAATCGAGAAACTGAAAGAGCCCAAAACTGCAATTTCGGGAAATTGGGAACTCGATTGTTGAAAAATCCAAAATCCGAGGACGCGAAAAACCGAATAATTGAATAATTCTGACATCGAGAAATCGACACATGAAAAGATCGAGAAATAGGAAATTATAAAAATCGAAAAACTGAATATCAAAAAAATTTTAAATTGGGGAATCGGAACATTAAAATTTCATCGAATCTAAAAATTAAAAATCGAAGACTGTAAAATTGAAAAACAGATAAATTGAAATATCCCAAAACTGAAAAATTGGAAAATCTAAAAATCTAAAAATCGGAAAGTCGAAAAATCGAATAATTGAAAAATTGAAACAGTGAGAAATCGAAACATGAAGAAGAGATCGAGAAATCGAAATAGCCCGGATGAAAAATAAAAAATTGGAAAATTTGAAATAAAAAAAATCGACATCTAAAAATTGAAAAATCGATAAACTGAACAGTCGAAAAATCGCAACATCCAAATTTCGGTATATCGAGAAAGAGAAAGAGAAAATGTGAGTAATCGAAAAGTCGAAAATTGACAAATCGAAAACTTCAAAAAATATTTCCATATTATGAAAAATGAAAAAAATTTAAAATAAAAAAATCAAAGAATCTGAAATCTAAAGAATCAAAAGGTTGAAAAATCGAGAAATTGAAAAATATATAAATTGAAAAATCCTAAAACTGAAATATCAAAAAATTAAAAATTGGAAAATCCAAAAATCTAAAAATTGAAAACCTGAAAAATCAAAAAACAGAAAAGTCAAAAACAATTGAAAAATTGAAATATCGAAAAATTGAAATAAGAAAAGATCGAGAACTCGAAATAGCCCAAACGGAAATATCCTGCAGATGATCAAATACTAATCAAAATGTGTCTAACCATCCTCACAAACAATGTGGTGACGTTCCTCCAAAATTTTTGATATTAAGTAAGATTTAAATTTTATAAATTAACATACTCTTGCATTTGTGGTTTTTGAACCCGCTTTGAGGTTTTGCCTCAGGCATCCATATTTTCGTAAAAAATTTAAATTGTGCAGCAACTTTTTTGTACACTAATAATGCATATAAGGATATTCGATTCACTTTCGGCAACTCCGGAGTTCTAATGTGAAGGTCGCGCCTTCGATCTCTCTTGGGTTTTTTTGTTTCTTACATTATTACTACTATTATCTATATATTTTATAAGGTGTATAGTCAAAAAATATTAAATTTCGCAAAATCAAATTTTTTAATTTTTTAAAAACGGGATTTGTTGGACTTCACGGACGTGAGAAGTTCTAAATAACATACACTTCAATCAACTTCTCAACAGTGATGAACTTGACTGTGGCATGTCTTTCTTAGCTAAATAAAACGTTCTAAAACGCTTTTAAAATCTAAAAAAAATTGGCAACTTTGATTTCATTTTTACAAACTTTTAAAAAAAATTGAAAAAACGAAAAATCTGAAATTAAAAAAGCGAAATTGAATAATCTAAAAATCTAAAAGCTGAAAAAAAAAATGAGTAATTATATATTTTTCTAAACATACTTTTTGTTGAAAAATATCGTTCATATTTATATTTCTCCAGTCAAAAAGTCGTCGATTTTCCATTATTTTTCCTATTTAATGGCAAACTCACAAGAAATGATTGTAAGAAGTACACAGGAATTAAAAGGTTGAGAGAAATCCCAATAACACTAAAATTACCCATCACTATCCGACGATGTTCTGAATGGGAATCTAATTCCTCCAAATTTATTAGAGGCTCGACTTGATTTTCCATTCCAACAAAAGTCTTTAAAAAGACTGATTTACAGAAAACATCAAATGAACAACGAGAGGGAGTTTACAACAAATGCTCAAGTAAGAATGAAAGCTCCACTTGACATAAGCGGAAAGGACAAATATAATTTTTTGAACCAGGATTTTTAACGATCACGTACTTTTACATCTGTTCGGCAAACAAATTTTTAAATTTTTTGAAAACTAAAAAGATCCATATTAATATAATGCATAGTATAGTAGAAATTTATTTGATGAAGGCACTACAAACCATGAGCATAAGACCAGACCTAAAACCCCTAAGTATACATACAACAAGATAATATTACGCATCTGATTGAAAATTTAGCACCCTAGAATTAGTAATCTACAAATTTGTTTTTCAGTAACTGAGTTTTACCTCATCATTAATTATTACTTTATATTATTAATATTTTCATATCTGTCTACTTTTACCAATCCCGGAGTCAGACCGGCTTTTCTACAACATTCATTACACATTGAGCACAAAACGCCTTCTTGTTCGTCGCTATCTTCCTGAATATTAACGTCGTGCGAAACCTTCCTCCCCAAAAAGGAATCTCGCTGCTTATGTCAATAGGATACCTATTAACCGAATAATTCCCAGCCGGAATTCCGCATTGTTCCGGATGTTTAATTCCAATGGCCTTTCCCAAAGTCACATACATGTCCACGATCGACTGAATACGACACTCCATAACTTTCGTACAAGGATCTCTTTGGTTCGGAAACACAGGCATGTTAACCCACGCACCATCAGCCCATCTTTCAATCTTCAAAACACTCTCTGCCGTGTCGTCTATGGGCTGGGCCAGAGAAAAGTCCATCGTGACCGCACGATGGGTGCGATTTATTCGATCTACGCGAAATTTCCTCATTGGAATTTCGAGCTGGTCGTTGTCGGGGCATAAGTAGCCGTTTTCTATGTCTATCACGTATTTGTGTCGCATCTTAAAATTAATTTAATGTGATTAGACTGTTAATTGGGTCGGTGGCAACTTACGAAAGCGGCGAAAATGTTGAAGGGTAATAAGAGCAGGATGAAAATGGGTGATTGGTGGAACATGGTTGTTATTAAAATGATATTTGTACAGGTTGGAAGTATGCAGATGTGGGGAAAATTATACGTTGGTTTATATAATTAAGTGGTTTGGATGTTGCCGGACTTCCGCAGGTAGGCTGAAATAATTGATGTGTGATTGTAGTTTGACTAGAAATCGAAGAAATGTAAGCGAATGTAGCTAGAGGTTTAACTTTACAGATAATCAGTTTGTTCTTTCGTTTCGAATTTTTTCGTTGGATGTTAACAGGTAAATCTTGAAAATTTTTAGCAATCTAGCAATTTATTTCTCTTAATGTTGCCTGAAAGTTTTATTTGTTACGTTGGTGAACAAGAGCAAAAATTTCAATTCAATTTTTGTATCCACGAAAATTTTGTGACCTGATTAGAAAGGATTAAAGGGCACAATAACAGAAAAGAAATGACATAAAAATATGATAAGGTATAAATTATAAACTTGCAAAAAAATACAGAATAAACGATTTGTGGAGGCGTTTCCATAAAAGTTATTTCAACTTTTTCAACGTATTTAGTACACGTTTGTCTCTTTTGACATGTAATTGCCTGCACATGTTCAGGTATGATATTTACGACTGCGGAGGAGCTCTCAGAGTGGCTGTTGTATTTTCTGATCGTTGTTTTGGCATCGCTCCAAATCAATTCAATTGAATCGAAAATACAAAAATAAGAAGGTAATCCGAGCATTTGAAAACACATGAGTGTACAATATCGTCAACTGCATAGGTTTTTCCTTCCCGAGCTTAAGCTAAGGAAGTATAGTAATCGAGTCCATCGGACGAATGGCCACTTTTCTATTTTCTCGACCTTTCATGACCCCTAGAGTACGAAAAAAGTAGTCTACCGTTTCCGTCTGTATGTCTGTCTATCTGTCTGGTGTCTGTTTACATAGTATAAATATATTAGAAATACCATATAGATGGTATTCCAAAATTTTGCTAATCATTCCCAACCCCACCAACAATTTGATGACGTCACTTCAAAGAATTATAATTGATTTAAGTGTTATGAAACAATATAGTCCTATAAGTGTGGTGTACGAATCCGCTTTGAGTTTTTCCCTAACCAAAAACCAAATTTTTGCAAAAACAATGCAGGATATAATAACAGTTTACCATTAGCGTAAAGCATCCCGGTCGTGGTCTAGTCGTTACGAGTCAGGAATGCGGACCAGACGTTGCGCGTTCGATTCCAAACTTGGTCTTTCGTTTTGTTTTTTTGTTTTTTTTTTTTTCTCTTTTTGTCTCGAATTATGTGTTTTATATATTTATGATGTCATAACAAATTTTTATTGATGACATTACCCCACTTTCTTGAAAAGGTGAGAATACGCCCCTCTTTATTTAAAAATGTAAAACCTTCACGGGGCGCCAAATGCCTTTTTTAAAAATGTGAATAATTCTTGGGAATCCTAAATGTATTTTTTTAAGTATTTAGAACCTTATTGGAGGTCTCAAATGTCTGTTTTTTAATGTGAAACCTTGTCGGGAGCGCCAAAGGTCTTGTTTTTAAGAATGTGAAATCTTCTAGGAGGCGTCAAACGTCTTTTTTTTAAGCATGTAAAAACTTCTCGGGGGCGCCAAATGTCTTTTTTTAAAAATGTGAAACCTTCTCGGTGGTCTCAAATGTCTGTTTTTTAATGTGAAACCTCCTCTGGGGTCCCAACTGTCTTTTTTAAAAATGTAAAACCTTTTCGGGGACGTCAAAAGTCTTTTTTTAAGCATGTGAAACCTTCTCAGGGGCGCCAAAGGTCTTTTTTTAAGAATGTAAAACCTTCTCGGGGGCGTCAAAGGTCTTTATTTTTAAGAATGTGAAACCTTCTCGGGGGCGCCAAAGGTCTTTTTTTTAAGAATGCAAAAACTTCTCGGGGGCGCCAAAAGTTATTATTATTTTTTTTTTATGCATATTTACTTTGACTTGCAATGTCACTTTTAATTATATCATACTTGCTATTCTTACGCATCGTAAACCTCGGAAGCACGAATCACCCAAAGTCTTTTTTTAAAAATGTGAAACCTTCTCGGGGGTTTCAAATGTCTGTTTTTTAATGTGAAACCTTCTCGGGGGTTCCAACTGTCTTTTTTAAAAATGTAAAACCTTCTCGGGGGCGTCAAAGGTCTTTTTTTAAGAATGTGAAACCTTCTCGGGGGCGCCAAAGGTCTTTTTTTAAGAATGTAGAACCTTCTCGGGGGCGTCAAAGGTCTCTTTTTTAAGAATGTGAAACCTTCTCTGGGGTGCCAAAGGTCTTTTTTTTAAGAATGTGAAAGCTTCTCGGGGGCGCCAAAGGTCTTTTTTTTTAAGAACGTGAAACCTACTCCGGGGCGCCAAAGGTCTTTTTTTTAAGAATGTGAAATCTTGTGTGCGCCAAATGTCTTTTTTTAAAAATGTGAAACCTTCTTGGGAGTCCTAAATGTATTTTTTTAAGACTTTGAAAGCTTCTCGGTGGTCTCAAATGTCTGTTTTTTAATATGAAACCTCCTCTGGGGTCCCAACTGTCTTTTTTAAAAATGGAAAACCTTCTCGGGGGCGTCAAAGATCTTTTTTTTAAGAATGTGAAACCTTCTTGGGGGCGCCAAAGGTCTTTTTTTAAGAATGTAGAACCTTCTCGGGGGCTACAAAGGTCTTTTTTTTAAGAATGTGAAAGCTTCTCGGGGGCGCCAAAGGTCTTTTTTTTTAAGAACGTGAAACCTACTCGGGGGCGCCAAAGGTCTTTTTTTAAGAATGTAAAACCTTCTCGGTGGCGCCAAAGGTCTTTTTTTAAGAATGTAGAACCTTCTCGGGGGCGTCAAAGGTCTCTTTTTTAAGAATGTGAAACCTTCTCGGGGGCGCCAAAGGTCTTTTTTTTAAGAATGTGAAAGCTTCTCGGGGGCGCCAAAAGTCTTTTTTTTTAAGAACGTGAAACCTACTCCGGGGCGCAAAGGTCTTTTTTTTTAAAATGTGAAATCTTGTGTGCGCCAAATGTCTTTTTTTAAAAATGTGAAAACTTCTTGGGAGTCCTAAATGTATTTTTTTAAGACTTTGAAAGCTTCTCGGTGGTCTCAAATGTCTGTTTTTTAATATGAAACCTCCTCTGGGGTCCCAACTGTCTTTTTTAAAAATGGAAAACCTTCTCGGGGCGTCAAAGATCTTTTTTTTAAGAATGTGAAACCTTCTCGGGGGCGCCAAAGGTCTTTTTTTAAGAATGTAGAACCTTCTCGGGGGCTAAAAAGGTCTTTTTTTAAGAATGTGAAAGCTTCTCGGGGGCGCCAAAGGTCTTTTTTTTAAGAATGTAAAACCTTCTCGGGGCGCCAAATGTCTTTTCTAAAAATGTGAAACCTTCTTGTGAGTCCTAAATGTATTTTTTTAAGACTTTGAAAGCTTCTCGGTGGTCTCAAATGTCTGTTTCTTAATGTGAAACCTCCTCTGGGGTCCCAACTGTCTTTTAAAAATGTAAAACCTTCTCGGGGGCGCCAAAGGTCTTTTTTTTAAGAATGTGAAACCTTCTCGGGGGCGCCAAAGATCTTTTTTTAAGGATGTAAAACCTTCTCGGGGGCGTCAAAGGTCATTTTTTAAAAATGTTAAACCTTCTCGGGAGGCGCCAAATGTCTTTTTTAAAAATTTAAAACCTTGGGAGTCTTAAATGTATTTTTTAAGACTTTGAAAACTTTTCGGGGGGCCCAAATGTCTGTTTTTTAATGGGAAACCTGTCCCAACTGTCTTTTTTAAAAATCTAAAACCTTCTCGGGGGTGCCAAAGATCTTTTTTTTAAGAATTTGAAACCTTCTCGGGGGCGGCAAAGGTCTTTTTTAAAAATGTGAAACCTTTTTGGTAGTCCTAAATGTATTTTTTTAAAACTTTGAAACCTTCTGGGGCGTCTCAAATGTCTGTTTTCTAATGTGAAACTTTCTCGGGGGTCCCAACTGTCTTTTTTTAAAATGTTAAACCTTCTCGGGGGCCCCAAAGATCTTTTTTTCAAGAATGTGAAACCTTCTCGGGGGCGCCAAAGGTCTTTTTTTAAGAATGTAAAACCTCGGGGGCGCCAAATGTCTTTTTTAAAAATGTGAAACCTTCTTGGGGGTCCTAAATGTATTTGTGTAAGTATTTGAAACCTTCTCGGTGGCCCCAAATGTCTGTTTTTTAATGTGAAACCTTCTCGGGGGTCCCAACTGTCTTTTTTAAAAGTGTAAGACCTTCTCGGTGGCGCCAAAGGTCTTTTTTTAAGTATGTGAAACCTTCTCGGTAGCGCCAAAGGTATTTTTTTAAGAATATAAAACCTTCTCGGGGGCGCCAAATGTCTTTTTTAAAAATGTGAAACCTTGTTGGGAGTCCTAAATGTATTTTTTTAAGAATTTGAAACCTTCTTGGGGGCCTCAAATGTCTGTTTTTTAATGTAAAACCTTCTCGGTGGCGCCAAATAACTTTTTTAAAAATGTGAAACCTTGGGAGTCCTAAATGTATTTTTTTAAGAATTTGAAAACTTCTCGGGGGTCCCAACTGTCTTTTTTAAAAATGTAAAACCTTCTCGTGGGCGCCAAATGAATAGTCTATTTTGCTCAAAACTCGTAGAAACTCGATTCAAACATGACACAGAGTCGCATACTAGTGAAAAATGAAAAACGAAAATAACGCAATAAGATATAATGGGCTGTCAAAAACTGAATAAACGTGATTAAACTCCAACTTTTGCTTTTTTGCTACTTTTTGAGTTGTAACAAATAATTGAAAAATTACAAAAAGAAAAAAAAATGGTGAGTTATAGAAAGCATTTTGTTTCATATTTGTTCCAACCCTGCCAATATTATCTACTTTTTTATTAATATAATAGTATTGCACGTGTCGAAATTGACATACCTTGTTGAAATATTCATTGGCACATCTTGCAATAGAAAAACTCACTAGAAACAGACACAGCCTTGTCCTTTATTAATGCATTCAATACATAGTAAATACTATTTAAATTTTATAAAATAACATATTGCTATTGTGTTTTATGCTTTAAAAACTGGAACACCAACAAA